AGGACCGTGAACAGACATAGCGGTGGCCTGCGGATGCGAAGGCTACTTTGTGTAAAGTTTCTTTTAAAATCATTCAAGCGATGCCGACGCGGATCCCGCGAATATATTGTGTTAAAACCCGCTATGTCATGTATTCTTCCATTGCTTGGTGGTAGCCACACTAGACAAACAATAAAAATCGCGAAGAAAAATCCAACAAATTCCTAAACATGCATGTGTGTCAGCGTCATTGTAGAATACTTTTGTTATCAGGGACAAGTCGTAGATCTACCCAGGCCCAAAACCAGGTTTGGGCCTGGGTAGATCTACGACTCCCTGATGTCATGAACTCGTACGCCAGATACTCACTGATTTTTCAGCCCGATACAGTATATGGGAGTGCTGACTAGCCACGTACGGGCAACAATGGGACTCAAATAATTACAGTATGCAAGCGTTGCAGGGAGATTGCACTGTAATTAGAAGGTGCTGGCCATTAGTCATGGCCTGGCCCAAATTTGCTCTGCTCACATCAATATTTTGCCGCTAGATTTTCGATATTCTGCTTGGCATTTGCTTTCTCTAGCTCTGTCGGTGTTTTGCTTTCATTTTGCTCGAGATAAAATGAGTTTCAAGGAAAATCTACAATAACTGTCGCTGACGACGACGAAAGTTTTGATTGGGGTCCTGCTTCTGTCAAACTTTCTACAAACATGAGTCACGAGTCTGTTTTGTCCAACTTTTATGCTCGTTTTCCGGTGACTGATTGTGTTGGGGAAGTCCCTTAGAAGCCTTGGATTTTCCGAAAACCCACCAAAACTCGATATTTATTTTCCTCGAAACTTGCCGGCAACTTGCGCATGCGATATTTCGCTCAAAGAATTGCTAGCAAATTTGTGCTATGACTGGCCGAGGTGAAGGGAATGTACCTGACCCCATGTGATCGCGATTTTATTCCTGAACGGTGCTCCTCATTTTGTCAGGCACCAACATTTTGCCGCAGTCTGACCAGCTTTCAGGGCCACTCAGATCTTTGCTGTTTCATGACTGTACATACGCACACGTACACGTACTGAGCATTGAGTCGTTTGCACCAGTCAAAGTGAGCTGTCTAAAAATGTCATCATGTCGTCAGGTAGCAAGACGGAGGACGCACAGTGCTCCTGCCTACAACCATAAACCGACTACTATAGTCAGTTTCAAAAAGATTAGCAATCCTGGCGATCGCCCGGGGAGTTTGCCGTCTTACCGTATGAGCGCTCGAGGGCTGGCTGGAAAAACTCACTGTGAACTCGAAGAAATATTCCGCGCGAAAGCATGAAAAATGACAACTCACTGACGTCGGCACTCGTACATGACTTTGTGTTCGTCTGCACGGTCTGGTTTACAACAAACGAGTTCTTCCTCGTATCGATATGGAGTCAGAGATCGAGAGGACATGTCGAAAGTCTGGTAAATATTATTTTGACGAGCGGGATGCGTCCCAATTCGTTTTGTGACCAAATACTAGTAGATTCTTTGAGCTGCCGTGGATGCAATTTACTCTCACGATGTGACGAAAACGGCATTGACACAGACTCATTCCCAAGGCCTTGATGTGGCAAAGCTATCCGTGTGACTTCGACGACATTGAGAAAAGCAGACGCCTGTGAAAGCTGATAGAAGACGGCGTTGACTCCTAAATTCAAAATAAATTGGCGATCTTGTACTAAAATAATTCTCAAACAGAAATCGATCGATCGATGTGCCGGTGTATTCAACAACACGTAGCTACAGCGCAGTGACTTCCGTGTTCACTCACACGGTTTCAGTGTTGTGTGTGTTCACAACTTCAAATGGCGTGAGCCAGGCAAGTGTCAGTCAGTTCGGCAGGAAACGCGAGCTCCAACAACAAGTCGTTTGGCGCAGCCACCTTCTTTGTCTTGACTCTTGTACAAAAATTGTACCAGCGCAGCGTGATCACCAAAACAATGAAAAAATGAAGAAAAAATGTTTGACTTGAGGATTTGCTGGGATTTGAACTCACAACTTCATGGTCAGCAGACAGCATTCATAACCACAAGGCCAAAAAGGAAGGGATGAATCGTGGGTTTTGGTAACAAATCGATACTGGCTTCCAGGGCAAATTATAAACCATGGGAAAAGGCCAGAAACCTGGCCGAAATTCTAACTCCTTAACGGTTGGTCCAATTGTTCTGAAACCTTCACAGAACAATTTGCCATGCCCTAACAAGCCGTTTTATGTACTTTGTTGTCCAAATTTCCCTTATCTTCATACTTTTTAAGACCCAAACTTGATTGCTAATCTTTTTGAAACAGACTTTTTTGTAGTAGTACAGTGCAGTTCGTACTCTCCACGACATGACGGCCGAGTGATGCAAGAGGTCATCACCATTACATGTATACATGGTACTGTAGTGGCATTATTATTACCCTTCATGTTCGCTTTGTATAACGCAGCGCGTACAACCTGCCTAATACAGACCATATTTGGCAGAAGCTTGTTTCTCCAAACGTTGACTATTAATAATATTATTTTTAAATTATTACAATAATGTACCATGCAGGAGGACATGTCCTTCCAGAAGATAGATACTGCGCCGAGCCACCCCACCACAGGACAATAACATTGAAGAAGACGATCACTTGTCGAAGCGTTGGATGTGATAAGCACCCGCGTCCCTGCAATGTACCGGAAGTTTTGCGCAAGCTGGTAAAAGTTTTGGCTGTTTCAAATAGA